GAGACGAGGCCAGAGGTTGAGCTGATGCGTAGCGTACCGGACCGCAAACGGCCACAGAAAATGGGGAGCAGCCGCATGGATCATGGAGGTACGAGCAACCTCCATGACTAAGCCAATGCGGCGCTCAGCAATCCCATTTTGCTGAGGGGAGGCCAGTAGCGTGAACGTCTGGAGAATGCCCTCCCCACGACAAAATTCCCGCAAGAAGTCAGAGGAGAACTCACCACCTCTGTCAAAGTGCAGACGCGGGATAGGAAGGTCCTGGCGGAATTGCTCGCGAAGCTGGAGATGGACTGCGCGGATCCTAATGATCAAGACATCAGGGACCTCACCCTTGCTGCGCAAGGGGAAGACCGTTGTGTAGCGCGTGTAGTCGTCAACAACCAGCAGAAAGTAGCGCTCGCGGCCCTGTCCACTGACGTGAGCTGGGCCCCACACGTCCATGTGGAGAGTCTGCAGGGGAGCATTCGTCGGGGGAAACGAGGAGGAGTGAGGAGCGGTGCGCTGCCGCCCCTCGACGCAAGGAAGGCAGGGCGGGGCAGGCGAGGGCGGGAGGGGAGGAAGAGACCTGGGAAGACCAGAGAGAAGGAGGCGGGAGTGCATACCACGAAGGCATGGCAGGGAGGGGTGACCAAGGCGGTGGTGCCACAGGAGAGTCTGGTGCGATAGGAGCCGACACGAGCAAGGGGGTGCTACCGGACTTGACGCGGACACATGGGCAGACGTAGCTACCTGAGGAGGCTCGGTAGCCAGTGTGTATAGACTTGACCCAGGCCGACGAGTGGACGTGGCCAGGTGACGGCCCGTCCATGTACACGTGCAGATCAACACACGCTGTCCCCCAGGAGTGGTGGTAGTGACCATCACATCCTAGAGGGCATTAGTACTCACCAAGTTAGTAGAGATCGAGGGGAGGTGAAGACCTGGCAGTGAACCGGACGGAACCGCCGGACACGGGAGAACAGTGGAGGAACGGGCAACAACTGAGCCCCCTGAGGGGTCAGCCAGTCTGACCGGGACAGGGTGAAGGGAGAGGAGTGAGGGTGGTGCTGTCACGAAAGAAACAGCGTGAGGCATATGAGTCCAGCGTGAATGTGTGCAAGGCCTCAGCAAGCGCAGTACCAGGCAGAGAAGACTCCCTAGCAACTAGAGCACCAGCCTCTATACCTGGGTCAGGCGGCACACACATGTAACAGTCACCCTCATAAATGATACATAGCAGAAAGGATAGCATCAAAGTCTATGTCAAAGATAGCAACTCCAGACCTAAGCAGCTCTGCCGAGCAGGGGCGCTCGGCCTCGTCACCAAACTCAGCGCGCCAAGCGTCGTCGAGGCGGGAGAAGCAGCGGTGCTGAGTGTGAGGCTCCCTGCATGTCTGACCAGCACGGTCACCCGTGCGAATGACAAACGGGCAGCTACCACTACCCCCAGACGCCCACGCTGAGACAACCACTCACGAAGCTGCTGGGGCGAAAGGGTCTCACTCCAACGCTGCGGCTAGCGGGGAAGCGCTGTGGTGGCCAAAAAAAAAAAAAAAACTGGTCCTAACGAAGGACCCGCTCTGATACCATGTCAGAAGAATGAACGAGAATGAATGAACTATGAAAGAGTTGGGTACAAGTACCAACCCTAATTGGGTTGTACCTCTTATGGGCTACCCTACTATAGCCTACAAAAATGTAAGCAGTATAACACTCTGACACACTGATAAAAAGAAAACGACAATGTTGCACGTGGCAATAACTTATGAAGATATGCGCATCTGAAAATTGAATGAAATCTTCCAAATGTTGTGGTGTTGCAGGTGAAAACTGCGGGTGCTATGGAAAGGTTGAATATAATTTCCACAAGGACAGCATGTCGTTATGCCTGCAAGAATCATGGAAGTGCTTGCATAAAGATCACAATGTAGGAAGGCAAACGAGACTGGTAAGGTAAAAAGTGAAGTAGCTTTTGTATACAGTCCACTTTCTTACTTCGTGTAGTATTTTGTGAAATTGTATTCAGCCTTCTGTTTTTTTCAGTCCTTACACACAGCGTATCTTAGATTCGCTTTGTCGAGATTTCATCCAAGCAAACTTGATTGGTTTGACCATTCCGTATCCAACTTATTCGACGAATTTGATTGGTTCCTCTTGGTTCGGGAAACAGGTTTGTGAGCTTGGGACGAGTTATATTCCTTATTTCACAAGGGTTCAGTCTGGCCTGCAACGGTCTAAAGAGGTGAATTCCATGAACCATTCTCGATTGCGGTACAGCATGAGCCCAAAATGATTAGTATTTCTCACAAACAAGACTGATCAGTGTGGTGGCTGGAATCAGTGACTAGTTACCATTCATTTTGGGCCGCTCATTTCATCATCTTGCCGCGTTTCTTAGCCATTGCCTTGTCCACAACAAGCAGGAATGCCTTCGTTAGACTTCGACGCTGTGGCTTCTTACGTTGCTAATTCTCGATCATCGCTCGTGTCTCGATTCTTAGAACGCGTCCTTCCGCGAAGAGGGTAGGGGAAAAAGGCGAAAGCAGCGGCAAAGGTTCAGCCGCGCCGCGGTCATGGCTTCTGGCTGGCTAGACGTCACGGGTGAGAAATTTAATCACTCGGTCAGAATATAGAGTTCAGGGATGCAGTCATTGGTATGTGATTCTTTGCCAAAAAAGAGCACGGGATGTCGCGAACGTAGCCAACGCCGGAAACGTCGCATCAGGCTTCGGCGTAGGTCAGACGAAATATCGCATGTCGTTACAGGCAGTGAATGACGGATGTGACGTCAGACGTGAGGGATTATTTAATGTCGTCAGACGTCAGACATCACGGCGCACGGAACTTTTCCAGGAAGGTGAAGAAGTCGTATGATCCCGAGCGCCGCTGGAATAGTTTTACAAACGCGTTTACTCGTTGACCGTCGCTCTCTGCTCGTCGCTCTGGACTCCAAGTCGTTGGCCTCTATTCGTTACTCGTTGGTCGTTATTTTATCGTTTTGGAGTAAGCGAAAAACCAGTTCCTTATTGAAAAACACCCTCCACGCTTTTATGACAAAAAGGAACATACAAGCAAGCTCAGTACTTTACCTATTCCTTTCCTATCTCTCCTCCCCCCTTCCCCCACCCAATCCCCCCTCCCAAACCCCCCCCACCACCCCCCCCCTTTCCTCGTGGTTTGCCACGTGGCACCAGTGGTGGGCTGCAAGGATCTAGATGACGTGGAGCTGTACGGGAAGCAGGACCCTTACGTAGTGTTAAAGCATAATAATCAGGAGCACCGCACCAAGACACACCAGGGTAAGTTGCTTTCATAGGAGACATGGAGAGGCGTGCAGTAAGCAAGCAAGCGGTACCCTTACTTGGTGTTACAGTAATAGTATGGTAACCAGCAGCACCGCATGATGATTCTCCAAGGTAGGCCCAAGGTAGGTTGCTTGCAGGGATGCTTCATATGTGAGACATGGCGAGGTGTGGGGCAGGCAAGCAAGCAAGCAGTACCCTTACTTGGTATTACAGTAATAGCATGGTAACCAGCAGCATTGCTTGAAGATATGAGGCATGGCGAAGGGTGAGCTAAACACTCAATCGAGCAGGACCCTTCCCCTCCCTGTTTTTCATCTCCCCTGCCCTCGGTCGTCCCTACAGACGGTCACACCACCCTTGTGTGTGTGGAACGAGACGTTTCAGCTGCAGTTGAGGCCAGAGATGCAAGCAGGCAGTCACAATTCCCTCAACTTCCTCTCTTCTCCTTCTCCATCTCCCCTTCCCTCGTTTGTCCCCACAGACGGCCACACCACCCCTGTGTGGAACGAGACGTTTCAGCTGCAGCTGAAGGCCGGTGTCAGCACCTTGGAATGCCATGTATGGGACAAGAACAAGCGGAGGGACGTTCTGATTGGCAACTGCTCGTACGTACCCCCTGCCTGCCCTGCCTGTTGTGATTGGTTGGTCCGTACTCGTGTGAGGATTAATCCATCAATCCCGTGCCTTTTGTGATGCGTTGGACGGTACTTGATTGAGGATTGTTCCATCCATCCGTCACTCCTAGAGCCATCCATTCTTGGTGCGTTTTGGGTCTTGAAAACGTCTGAGACAGTTCTTGGTGTGTTTTTTCTTTTATTTTCCAAGAGCAATGAACAATTCCGGGCTTGGAAGATCTGAGACGTCTTCAAACGTCCTTAGTGGGCTATCATGTCAAATCGGAAGCAATCAAGAATCACAAGTTCTCAACCCTTTGATCATATTGGCTGCATACTTCAGCCCCTAAAAAAATCCCTCTGCAGCACCAAATTTGTTCTGAACCACTCTGTCTGCCTGCTGCACCGCTCCTCTGGTAATCTATTATTTACGGCTCAGAGCCTGCATAGCTCCAATCACTACTAACTTTCTTCGTGTGGCGCCTCAATAACGCATTTTGCATCCCCCGTTTCCTATTTTCCTTGCACTGACTCCTAAATATCGTTCAGGGTGAACTTCCTTCCATTCAGCACTAACAGCAGAGCAGACACATTCGTCCCGCATCCCTTCAATTACTCATTTCAACCACTTTCATTCTACTTCCTTGCACTGACTCCTACATTTCGTTCAGGGTGAACTTCCAGCCAGCAGCACTGACAGCAGAGCAGACATATTCGTCCCGCAGCCAGCCCTTCACTTCGCGTCCCTCCCTTACTTTCTCTTCCTTGCACTGACTTGACTCCTAAATTTCGTTCAGGGTGAACTTCCAGCCAGCACTGACAGCACAAGTGTGGGACATGTGGCACCCTCTCTTCACTAAGAAACAAAAGTATGGCTTTTCTGGTTCATTCCATGTGCATTTCTGGTTCATTCCATGTGCATTTCTGGTTCCGAAGCCTCCCTTCCTTACGTCTTTCCAGCTTGGCGAGACTCAAACATGCACTTACTCTACTCCTTTCTTTCCCTCTGCTGCTCCTGGCATTCTTATGCAGGCAAAAGGGTTTTTTTTTTGGGTGCCTCAAAACTCCTCCCACCGTCTTTCTTTCCCTGTGCTGCTAGTGGCATTCCTTTGCAGGCAAAAGGGTTATATTCGTCTCGTTCTCAAGTATATCCCTGTAAGGTGTACCTGTTCTCTGTTCACATGTTTTTTATGTTGCAGTGATTTTTTTAGAATTCTAAACAAAAAAAATCCTTTGCAGGCAAAAGGGTTATATTTATCTTGTTCTCAAGTATAACCCTGTAAGGTGTACCTGTTCACATGTTTCCTCACACGTTCTTTCTACTTGTTCTCTTTCCACATCTAAATGCCGTTTTCCCAGGCGGCTCGCCACTCACTGGGTACTAGACTGTATCATTACTGTTTTGTGATCTATTTTATTTTCGTCTATTTTAATTTTCTTTTCTACTTTTTTTTTTCCATTTTCTTTTCCTCATTGATCCAGTCCCAGCCGAACGCATCCGCATCTCCTTCTGCCATGCATTCCTCAACAGCAGCAGCAGCAGCAGCAGCAGCAGCACCAGGAGCTGCAGCAGCAGCAGGAGCAGGAACAGCAGCAGGAGGAGCAGCAGGAGCAGCAAGAGCACGTGTTCCCCTCCCTGACCACTACACCTCATCACCACGGCAGCAGCCCTCTCAACCCCCCGCCTTTCCTCCACCCCAATCACTCTATCCCCCTCCGCCACAGCCAGTTTCTGAGCCAGCTCAATTACCAGACCAGAACCATCTGTACCCATCCCCTTACCCCTCTCTGCCACACAGCCCGTGTTCCCAGCCACCCTCCTCCCCTTCCTTCCACACCCAGTCCCCCTCCCACTCGTCCCACCTTTCCTCCTCATCAGACTCCCCATCCTCCTCGTTCCACAGCCAGTACTCATCCTCAGACTCGTCTTTCTCCTTCCAGCACCAGGAGTCGGCACCTAGTCGTCTCTACCCTCCTTCTCCTCTCGCTCCTTCCCCTCTTGGTGCTCCTGGTGCTGGTGCTGGTGCTGGGGCAGGTGCTGGGGCTGGTGGTGGGGCTGGTGGTGGTGGTGGCACTGGTCCTGCTGTTGGTGGTGGTAATTATGGCAACTACCCTGGTGGTGCTGCTGCTGCTGCGGCTCCTTCTGCTGCTGCTGCTTCTACCTACTCCAGTATTGACTACCCAAGAGTGCACTCAAGTGGCCCCCCATCTGCCCCTCCTCTGTCTCCCCCTCATTCTCCAGTCCCTTCCCCACCCCGCTCCCCTCCACCCACTCACCCCTACAACTACCCCCCTCAGCCCACAGCAACTCCACTCCCCTCCGCTCCTCTCACACACCCCTACAGCTGCCCCCGCCAGCCCACAGCAACACAGGTATCCCAAGCCCAACACCACTCCCCAGGAGCAGGAGTGGGGTCATTTGAGCATACAATGGGGGGTGCAGCAGCACACTCAAGGGGGGATGCAGCAGCACACTCAAGGGGGGATGCAGCAGCCGTTGCAGCAGTTGGGGCGGCCATGGGTGATCTTGCAATTGGTGGTGCTTCAGAAGCAGGAGGAGGAGCAGCATCACCAGCAGCAGCACCACCTGTCCACCACCCTCCTCCCCAGCCTCCATCCCAAAACCCATATCCTCCCCCATCCTCTTCCTCCTCTCAAGGCGCCTATCCCCCTTCCTCTCAAAACGCGTATCCTCCTCCTCCCTCCTCTCAAGGCTCTTATCCTCCTCCCCCACCTCCTTCCCAGTCCGCATATCCTCCCCCTCCCGCTCCCTCTCAATCCGCATATCCTCCCCCCCCATCTCAGAGCGCTTACCCTCCCACCCCTTACGGTTACCCCCCTTCTTCTCAAAACCCTCCTTACGGATATCCCGGTTACCCCCCACCTTCTCAAGCTCCCCCCTATGGGTATCCCTACGCTCCTCCTCCTGCGTCTTATGGCCATCCTCCTCCTCCTGCTTCCTACGCCCCTCCTCCGGCCCCGTATGGCTATGGTGCGGCCCCTTGGGGGTATTACTCTCACTAGAGCAACCAGCCTGTGATGGTGGTGCATGGCCATGGGCACCATGGTACGTGCAGCATGCATATAAAACTTCCGTAGGGCATTTGTGTCCATCATGCGTCATGTTGCATGCACCATGCATCATGGTGGGTGCATTATGCATCGTGGTATGAGGTGGTACGTGCCATTATGCATTACTTCTTTCATGCTGGGCTTTCCCGCGTGTACAGAGTCGTTGCTGTCGTGATGCGTAGCAGTGTGATGCTTTTGTACCGTTACTTGCTTTCATTACCTGTTTCACTAATTGTTTCCTGTTCTCCGTTCTTGAAACAGTCAGGTGTGAAGCCTTACCATTCCGTTCCAGGTGTCAAATATTCCCTGGCAGTAATTTTCTTCATTTCTTTGTATCACTTGCTGGTTTGGTGGTGGATTGCAGGTTATTATGGAAATCACAAGGGCCACAAAGGTTTCAAGGGTGGATTCTCCAAGTAATGCTTGTCATTCCTTTACTGTCCCGATGGCTTTTCCATTCTAGTAAGATAAGAGTAGTAGGCTAGCTTGTTTTGGTTGTATTGGATACTGGGGTGCTTGAAAATGAACTCGTCTCACCATTCCGGAAACCTCCTCCACCTCTTCCTTGTTGGGGTGTGCCTGAAATGGGCAGGGAAACGCGAAGGGCGTGGAGCTCTTGACAGGGACAAGATGAGCTGACGGCCGCGAACTTCATGCTGACTTGTTCGCGCGTACCAATCTCGAGAAGGAATCAACTGAAGGGAATATTCCCAACAACCAATTATCTCCATGTTGCGCACGAGTCAAGGCGACGCGGTGGGGGCGAGCCCCAAACCGCAGTCATTGAGAATGGGCGACATCTGTCCGTCCAAGACCATCGTCGGATAGTTTCTGGTCAGATCGGTCTGCTTTCAGGCAGACCTACCCTAGCAGAATGCTTTCGCACTTCGCAAATACTCATTTCAACTCCCATTGCCTTCATTTCTCCCCTACATGATCTCTGTTTGATTGAACGTCACTGAATCGATTGCACATACAGCCAGCCGGTCAGCACTTCGAAACCATCCTTCTGCCCCTCTGGCTCCTTCCTTCCAGGGTCAACAACCAATCTCGAGGAGCACCGACGAACCTATCCGCGTTGTCTCTGAAATGACGAGGGGAAATGGAAAATCCCATCATCCATGGCTGCATTGAATCAAGGCCTTGGGAACACTTGGTGGTCCCTGTTGATTTCTGCTTGGGTGGGAGCTGTTATTTCAGCCGTAGAAGGAATGTGTATTGGTTCTCCCTGCTGCCTCGCATTTCAGGCATCGTCGCAGCCATAAATAACATCACCAAGGCAACCTATTCCTCAGTCATTAGCTGCTGCTCTTTGGTCAAAGAATAGGCCTACTAGGACCGTAGGTTTAAGCTCAGAACAGCTCACCGCGGCGCAATGGTTTCCCGCGCGTGCTCCACCGCGCCGCCGGGCCTGGCTCTCATTCGTCGCTTCCGGCCAAAGGATTTTTCCTTCGCAACGCACCAGATTTTCGTCCTTGTTCTCACCTTTATCGCATACGCGTTATACCACGCCTCGCGAAAGCCTCCCAGCATTGTCAAGGGCGTGCTCGACCCTCTCGATACAGGCAACTCCGTTACAAGCAATCCCTGGACGTTCTACCTCCAGCGGCTGGAAGCCCACCCAGAAAACTCTCTTCTGCGGGCAGAAAAAAAAGCCGGATGGGCTCCTTTCAACGGTAAATCCGGGAAATCTCTCCTCGGAGAACTCGATATTGCGTTTCTGGGATGTTACGCGATTGGCATGTACATCGCCGGCCACGTCGGTGACCGCATCGACCTCCGCGTCTTCCTCTCCGTGGGGATGTTCGGCAGCGGCTTATTCGTATCCCTCTTCGGCATGGGGTATTTCTGGAATATACACTCGTTAAACTACTTCGCAGCGGTGCAAATGGCCGCGGGGTTCCTCCAGGCGACCGGCTGGCCGAGCGTCGTCGCGATTATGGCCAGCTGGTACGGAAAAAAAGGCCGCGGGTTGATTCTTGGCGTGTGGAACGCACACACTTCCGTCGGCAACATTCTCGGATCGCTCATCGCGTCGTCCGCGCTTGCAAGCGGATGGGGCTGGGCGTTTCTCATCCCCGGATTCAGTATCATGGCGGGAGCGCTGGTCATGTTTCTGTTTCTTGCGCCGGAACCGGAAACCATAGGGCTGGAGTCGCCGCATTCGCTGCTGCTGTCGGAGTCGTCTAGTGAGGCGGGCGGGAGCGTGCACGGGGAGGGGGACGAGGAGTCGGGGCTTGAAGCTGTCGAATGCGCTGACATGGCTGCTGACGTGGCGGCTGGTTTCGATGCTGCCCTATTAGCTCCGAAAGAGGCTGCTTATGCTTCAGTATCGGAGCAGCTTACGGTGCCGCTTTTAAAGGGGAAGGATGATGCGGGGCCGGGAGCGGAGGGTCGGATTGTGATAACAGAGGATGTGCTTAAAGCGGGGATGGGAGGGAGCGGCGAGGAGCACGAGGCGATCAGTTTCTGGGACGCATGTCAAATTCCTGGTGTTGCGGCGTACGCGTTATGCTTGTTCTTTGCTAAGCTTGTGGCGTACACGTTCCTGTACTGGCTCCCGTTCTACATCAAGCGCACAGGTGAGACGAATACCGCCTACAGACTCCCGTACGAGAAGCACTGAAATGTACTCCGTCAAAAGGAAAACAGTGGAACAAACTTGTAACTATGCACCGACGCGTGTTCGGGCGAATGGACAGTTTTTTACTTTGTGGGGGGGGGGGAGGAAGGAGGGAGGGGGGGGGTGCTGGGGAAGATAGTAGCGGTCCATCTCTCCGACCACACAGATATCTTGCTCCCTTTCTCACTTCTCTCTCCCCTTCCTCGCTCTCTCCCCACCTTCCCAAGCAGAGATAGCGGGCCATCATCTGACTGACGCGTTTGCTGGAGTAACGTCGACGGTCTTCGACTTAGGGGGGGTGCTGGGGGGGATAGTGGCAGGCCATCTTTCCGACCATACGGGCGCCCACGCCACCGTGTCCGCTTCCTTCATGCTCCTAGCCGTCCCCGCTCTCCTCCTCTACTCTTTTATGGGCGGAATTTCCCTCTCTGTGCACATAGGGCTGCTTTCACTGGTGGGATTCTTTGTGAATGGGCCCTACGCGCTTATCACTTGTGCCGTGTCCGCTGATCTGGGGCAGCACGCGTCGCTCCGAGGGAATTCCAAGGGGTTGGCTACGGTTACTGCGATTATTGATGGTACGGGCTCGCTAGGGGCTGCTCTGGGTCCGTTTCTAACGGGGATAGTGGCAGAGATTGGGGGAGGAGGGGATGGGGGGAAAGGAGCAGGGGACCTGGGGTGGAAGCTGGTGTTTGCAATGCTTATTTCGGCTGCTCTGGCTGCGGTACTGTGTATACTGCGGTTAGTTATTGGCGAGTTCAAAGAAGCAGCAGAGACGTCAGCAGCATTAGATGCCTTCTTAGAAGCGGAGAGGCAGCAGCAGGAGCAGGGAAGAGAAGGAGAGCAAGGGAGGGGCAGTGGATTTCCGGGGGGAGAGCAGCTGGGAGGGGAGAGGGGCGAGCAGAGAGGCGAGCAGAGAGGGGAGCAGAGAGGCGAGCAGAGAGGCGAGCAGAGAGGCGAGCAGAGAGGGCCTCAACGTGTAACGAAGTGCAAGAGCAGGAGGGTGTGGCACCACTGGTGGCGGAAGGGCGGAGGATACTGCTCCACGTGCTGCTGCTGCTGTGTGGTTGCCAGATGCTGCTCCTGCCCTCCACCTGCGAAGGTACACACTCACCACCACCAACACCACCCACAGGAGCCGCAGCAGCAGCAGCAAGAGCAGCAAGAACAGCAGGAGCAGCAAGAGCAGCAGCAGCAGCAACAACAACAACACCACTAGCAGCAGCAGGAAGGGGGAGGGGGAGGGGAGTAGGGACAGGGCAATTAGCTCAGTGCAAGAGCAGGAGGTTGTATCGGTGGCACCACTGGTGGCGGAAGGGCGGAGGGTACTGCTCCACTTGCTGCTGCTGCTGTGTGGTGGCCAGGTGCTGCAGCTGCCCTCCACCTGCCAAGGTTTACAGTCACCACCACCAGCACCACTCACAGCAGCCGCAGCAGCAGCAGCAGCAGCAGCAGCAGCAGCAGCAGCAACACCACTAGCAGCAGGAAAGGGGAGGAGAGGGGGGAGTGGAGGGGAGTGGGGTCAGGGCAATGAGGTCAGTGCAAGAGCAGGAGGTTGTATCGGTGGCACCACTGTTGGCGAAAGGGTGGAGGGTACTGCTCCACGTGCTGCTGCTGTTGTGTGGTTGCCCAGTGCTGTAGCTGTCCCCCTCCCTGCCAAGTTACCCAGTCACCATCACCAACATCCCACACAGCAGCCACAGCCCCAGCAGCAAGAGCAGCGGCAAGAACAGCAGCAGCAGCAGCAGCAGCAGCAGCAGCAGCAGCAGCAGGAGGAGGAGGAGGAGGAGCAGCATCAGCAGGTGCAGAAACAACAGGAGCAGCAGCGGCAGAGCTAAGATGTAACACCAACCCTCATCCCATTTGGTTTGCAGATGTTAATTCAGACTTCCAGGCTAGAGTAGGGACACCAAGGTTGCTACTCGAACGACACGCGCCTGCATATAAATGTTGATTTGTAAATAGATTTACTAAGTATTGAGTTTGTGTTATCCCAGATCCCAGTGCAGAGTGTGAAGTGTAGATTGGGAAAATATGCCGTTCGTAACCATCATGGGACTCGAAAACATTTTTGGTAAAAAAATAAAGGGTACGGTCACTGCAAAGGGTGTTTTCACGCGACTGATAAAGCGTTTCACGGAATCAGTCACAATCAGCTGGTAAAAAAAAACGCGAATGGTCACAGATGAAACTCCCGCCAAAACAAAATGAAACCCAGAAAGAACCTGGATGCATTTTCGGATGATCAACCCTAAACACGTAACTCGCCAGGTGTTTAGGGTTGATCCGTTCCCAAACCGCATCCGATTCCGATTGGGTTTGAGTTTTTTTACAAGTTCACAGATTGGTTGGGCGCGAGCGGGAATTTTGTCGAGTTTCAAGTTTTTTTGGCGGGAGCTACATGTGTGACGATTCGCGTGATTTTTTACCTGTTGTTAGTGACTGAATCCGTGACCCCGCTTACCAAACCCGTCAGAAAACCCGATACAGTGACCGTACGCGTTTTTTTTTACCATTCACGTTATCGAGTTCCAAGTTGGTTACTTGTGGCATATTTTCCCGTGTAGATTCTGTTGAGATGAGAAAGCTCTTGTTTGAAGACAGGAATCAATTACAACAAAGGAAGTCATAAGAATGTACTTGTGTACGATAAGAATCATTCATCATATAAATATACAAAATAATGATGCATACAGTTACAGAGCATTACTGTAGCACCTCGTGAACTGCCACAAATAAACGCGATTTCAACAGTGATATTAACCGTTATAGTAATGCCCTGGTATAAATAGGCACCTAACTACTACTGAACAAATCCCTAGGTATAAATGAGGATTGGTGCAGCTTCACAAGCAATGCAAGACAAGGAAATAGCGACTACTAGTGCAGCTTGTCGGAGGAACCAACCTAGCCAGGCTCATAGGGTAAGTTTAAGAAGTGCCTGCACTAGATCTACCAGCAGCAGCAGGCACGGACTAGAAGAGCAGTTGGCCGGCCAGCCTTGCCTCAGCAGAAACAGCACCAGCAGCAGCGCTACACCACTCTTCCTCCAAGTCTAAGCACGGCCACACTGTTAAGGTCCAAACCCGGCTGAACGCCGTGAATCCGATCAACATTCACAGTTGCAGGGGTCACCCGCCCCCCCTTCATCAGCCTGTACCAGCAGCAACAGCAGCAGGCGCAGCGGCAGCAGGTGTGGAGTGGACTAGAGCAGTCTCCCTCCCCAGTCTAGAGGCATAGCCACACTGGTGAGGTCCAACCAAACCCGGCTGCACGTCGTGAATGCTGGCCCTTATCAGCCTCCATCAACAGCAGCCCTACCACCAGCAGCAGCAGCAGCAGCACAGCAGGTGGGGAGTGGACTACACCAGCCTCCCTCCCAGTCTAGGCATGGCCACACTAGTGAGATCCAGATCAGGCTTCACGTCGTGGATTCGATCCACATCCACCGTTGCAGGGGTCATCGGTAGGAACCTCTGAGGCGCCACAAAGATCGACCCTCCCCCGCCAGTGCTGCTGCTGCCCGCACCGCCACCAGCACCACCCCCCCCTGCTTCTTCCGCCTCCATTCGCCTCAGCAGGCTGTATCTGCTTAGGGATTTCGTGAAGAACCTCGGGTTAGGTTCGGGCCGAGCCGCCATGGCAAAGGTGTGGCTCCTGCTTCGGCCGTACGTGGCTTCTCGCATCGCCTCCATCATCTCTTCTGAAGCTGCGCCTCGGGCTGCCGGACCAAAGCCTTGGCTCATGGTCATTGCTGCCAGCAGCGCTTCACCTGACAACGGCCCCGTACCTGCAGCCGAGCCTGGCAGCTTGCTTCGGTCGAGCGGGCTTCCGAAAGCTCCGGCGGCATTACCAGCATTACCCCCCATGCGAAGGGCGTTTTCTAGACTCTTGCGGCTGGTGCCCATGCCACTAGCTAGCGCCCTGCGAGCAGCGGCAGCAGGAGATTCGGGATTCTCTGCTGCGGAAGCAGAAGCACCAGCAACGCCAGCAGCAGCAGCAGTGGCAGCAGCGGCAGCTGGGACAAGCTTTCCACTGCTGCTAGACGGACGACTCCCACCACCTCCTCCAGCCTTAGACGCCAGAGGAGCCAACAAATCGTCCTTCTCTTTCTCATGCACCTCCTCTTCCTCCGCTCCCTCCTCTCGCTCTCCCTTCTCTCCCTCTCCCTCCTCCTCTCCCTCGCCCTCTCCCTCCTCCCCTTCCATCACCTCCACCTCTGGTACCGGCTCCAGAGACACGTCAGTGAGAGACGCCTGCCGGACCTGCCGCCACACCGGAGGCTCGGCCGAGCCTGCCGCATCCACCGCACCAGCTTCAAGACCAGCCGATCGAGGCCGACCAGTCTCCACACCTCCCAACCCCTCTGCTGTGGCAGAATCCGCACCCCCTTCCTCTGCCCGTGCCTTCTCCTCCTCTTCCATTGCTGCAATGCGTCGCGGAAGGGTTTCCCAGTCGCCCACTGTTGGGACGCTTTCTGAGAGGCTGCGACGGGTGAGCGAGAGAGAGATGGGCAGCGCGACAGACAGCTCTGCCTCCTTACCCCCCCCTCCTCCTGCTGTTTCTCCTGCTGCTGCTCCTGATGCTCCTGCTGCTGCTGCTGCTCCTTCAGCTGCCCCCTGTGACTCTACAGAAGTGGACTTAGGCAACGGGAGCCGGAAATCCTCTGGAACAGACGCAACTGCCTCATCAGACCCAGCCAATTGGGCGGCAGCAGGAGCAATGTCTGACACGGCAGCAGCAGCACCAGTGGCAGCGGCACCGGCACTGGCAAAGGCTGTTACTACAGCAGTAATTTTGTCTCCTGCCTCTCCTGTCTCTCCAGTCTTCTCCCCATTAGCACGAACCACCAGCCCTTCCAATTCACCCGCAGCAGCAGCAGCAGCAGCAGCAGCAGCCGAATCAGCACCATCACCAGCAGCACCAATACCATCACCATCACCAGCAGAACCACCAGCGGCAGCAGCAGAAGAACCGGCACGATCCGGCGACATCACTCTAGGCGAATACACTGGCGCAAGCACCACCCCCCGGGGCACGGGACTCCAGTCATTGTCCGCGCTGCGGCTGGCGAGGTGCTGCAGGCCCACGAGCAGCAGCAGCACGAGGCGCTCCATCTTGAGGTGATCCACATGCTGCAGCGTCTGCAGGAGGGTCAGGTCCGTGTGCCCCTGCACCCTGCTGTCCAGCCCAAACCTGGGATGTGGAAACAGAGAGACATGAGAATGAGATAAGGGGATGTGGCAAGGGGAGAATGCAGAAGAAGGGGGCGGGGAGCAGAACCAGCGTCTGCAGGAGAGTCAGGTCCGTGTGCCCCTGCACCCTGCTGTCCAGGCCGAACCTGGGAGGGGGGAGGGGAGTAAGAAGAGGGAAAGGCACAAAAACGCTACCACACACATGTTACCAGAAGTGTAGTACACCGCCTGCTTCTTCAATCCATCGCGCACGATGAAGCATGAATCCATCCCCCCCAGTCTGCGACACTTTGAATGGTGCCTTTTGTTTCGTGTTTGAAGTAGTGTTTTGAGACGTGTTTGAAGTAGTGTTTTGAGATGTCTCAAAAACACTACTTCAAATGCACGATGAATCCCCCAGTCATGCAGAAGGGAGATTGCAACACTTTGAATGGTGCCTTTTGCCATATTGCTTTTGTGCCATGGTATTTTCACCATGGCGTTTTCTGTGAAAGAACAGCCCCAGAGCAACCATTGAGAAATCACAAATCACGCATGGATAGCACCATTGCCTCACTATGAATGAATGAACGTACCTGATTGTGTTCTCTGCCATGGTCACCAGCCAGTCCATGCCACCATTGGCATTGCCTCACTATGAATGAATGAACGTACCTGATTGTGTTCTCTGCCATGGTCACCAGCCAGTCCATGCCACCATTGGCATTGCCTCACTATGAATGAATGAACGTACCTGATTGTGTTCTCTGCCATGGTCACCAGCCAGTCCATGCCACCATTGGCATTGCCTCACTATGAATGAATGAACGTACCTGATTGTGTTCTCTGCCATGGTCACCAGCCAGTCCATGCCACCATTGGCATTGCCTCACTATGAATGAATGAACGTACCTGATTGTGTTCTCTGCCATGGTCACCAGCCAGTCCATGCCACCATTGGCATTGCCTCACTATGAATGAATGAATGTACCTGATTGTGTTCTCTGCCATGGTCACCAGCCAGTCCAGCACCGCCTCCATCTCCTGCTGCAAGACCCCGTCAGCATGACCAAGAATGAACATACCAAAGAATGTTCAGCACGACCGTAGCTGTTCATCTTCAGCACCAACGTACCGGATGGTGTTTTCCGCCATGGTCACCAGCCAGTCCAGCACCGCCTCCATCTTCTGCTGCTACATGCCGCCTTGCCTTCTGAGGCAAGGACTAAGCTATTCCGGATGTGCTTAACACTAACGCACCTGAGTGCGTGTTCCGCACCAACCAACATACCGGATGGTGTTTTCCGCCATAGTCACCAGCCAGTCCAGCACCGCCTCCATCTTTTGCCGGATGCTCTCCGTGCTCTCCTGTAGAGGCGAGTGGGGGGGAGGGGAGGGAGGTTGAGGGGCGAAGTCTATGCTTGAGAATGCATGTGTAAGTGTGGACGGTTCATCTTATCGACCAGACCAGTCCAGCACCGCCTCCATCTTCTGCCGGATGCTCTCCGTGCTCTCCTGTAGAGGCGAGTGGGGGGGAGGGGAGGGAGGTTGAGGGGCGGAGTCTATGCTTGAGAATGCATGTGTAAGTGTGGACGGTTCATCTTATCGACCAGACCAGTCCAGCACCGCCTCCATCTTCTGCCGGATGCTCTCCGTGCTCTCCTGTAGAGGCGAGTGGGGGGGAGGGGAGGGAGGTTGAGGGGCGGAGTCTATGCTTGAGAATGCATGTGTAAGTGTGGACGGTTCATCTTATCGACCAGACCAGTCCAGCACCGCCTCCATCTTCTGCCAGATGCTCTCCGTGCTCTCTTGCATGGAGGGAGGAATGTGGGGGACGGAGGGCGGGGAAGGGGGTGGATGTGTGAATAAGTGGGTACAAGTCATCTTATCAACGACCAGCCAGTCCAGCACCGCCTCCATCTTCTGCCGAATGCTCTCCGTGCTCTCCTGGATGGAGCGCGAAGGGAAGGGGTGTGGAGGGAGGGGGGCGGGGGTCCGGGGTGTGGACGTGTGAAGAAGCGTGTGTGAGTCATTTCAGAATTGACCAGCCCTTCAGTCCAGCACCGCCTCCATCTTTTGTAGAGGAAGTAGGAGGGGGATTGGGGTGCGAACGCGCGTGTACAGGGATTTTTTGGGATTTTTCAAAAAAATCCCTGCACCGTTTGAGAATTCTCAGAAAATTCCCTGCAACGTTTGAAAATTCTAAAAAAATCCCTGCACGAGCCATCTTATCAACGACCAGCCAGTCCAATCCAGCACCGCCTCCATCTTCTGCCGGATGCTGATGCTCTCCTGCATGGAGGGAGGAGGCAGCAGGGCCGGCATGTGTGTGTGTGCATGTGTGTGGGGGGGGTTGGTGAGGAGGTATATGAGTGTGTACAGGCCATCACATACAAAACCAGCCAATCCAGCACCGCCTCCATCTTCTACCGGATGCTGATGCTCTCCTGCAGAGAGAGAGCGAGAAAGGAAAGTTGTGTGCAGCTGAATGGATGTGCCTAATGTGCGTAATGTGTGTGGACGATCGCAGAAACGACCAGCTCAGTCCAGCACCGCCACCCATACACCATACCACACCACACCACACCACGCCACATCGAACCGCACCACATCTCACCACACCACACCACAACCCATCCCACTGCACTGAACCCACCTGCTCTATGTCTTGCGACTGCAGCAGCGTGCGTTTCAACCGACCCCACTGACAGAAGGGGGCAGAGCAGCGAAGGCATGGTGACCCATGGATACCACACTGCACCACATCATACCACGTCACACCGCACCACACCACGCTGCACCACAACAACACACTCACCACACCACACCCAACTGCTCTATGTCTTGGCGACTGCAGCAGCATGCGCTTTAACCAGCCACAGACAGAAGCAGGCAGAGCAGAGAAAGCATGGTGACCCATGGATACCACACCACACCGCATGGCACCGCACTGCACCCCACCCCACCCACCTGCTCTATGTCTTGCGACTGCAGCAGCGTGCGCTTTAACCGCCCACAAACAGAAGCAGGCAGGGCAGAGAAAAGCGCCTCCCTTTGTGTCTCCACACACGCTGGGCGCATCACCTGTGAGGGGGAGCAGGGATAGGAAGTAGAGGTGAGGGATGAGATCAAGGGCGATGGGCTTACACACACCAACCACACAAACGGCCAAAAGGGTCACCCCGGGATGACTTTCGAGTCGACTCAGGTCATCTCCCTTTGCGTCTCGACACACGCTGGGCGCATCACCTGATAAGGGGGAGCAGGGATAGGAAGTAGAGGGGAGGGATGAGATCAAGGGCGATGGGCTTACACACACCAACCACACAAACGGCCAAAAGGGTCACCCCGGGATGACTTTCGAGTCGACTCAGGTCATCTCCCTTTGCGTCTCGACACACGCTGGGCGCATCACCTGATAAGGGGGAGCAGGGATAGGAAGTAGAGGGGAGGGATGAGATCAAGGGCGATGGGCTTACACACACCAACCACACAAACGGCCAAAAGGGTCACCCCGGGATGACTTTCGAGTCGACTCAGGTCATCTCCCTTAGCGTCTCGACACACGCTGGGCGCATCACCTGATAAGGGGGAGCAGGGATAGGAAGTAGAGGGGAGGGATGAGATCAAGGGCGATGGGCTTACACACACCAACCACACAAACGGTCAAAAGGGTCACCCCGGGATGACTTTCGAGTCGACTCAGGTCATCTCCCTTTGCGTCTCGACACACGCTGGGCGCATCACCTGATAAGGGGGAGCAGGGATAGGAAGTAGAGGGGAGGGATGAGATCAAGGGCGATGGGCTTACACACACCAACCACACAAACGGCCAAAAGGGTCACCCCGGGATGACTTTCGAGTCGACTCAGGTCATCTCCCTTTGCGTCTCGACACACGCTGGGCGCATCACCTGATAAGGGGGAGCAGGGATAGGAAGTAGAGGGGAGGGATGAGATCAAGGGCTATGGGCTTACACACACCAACCACACAAACGGCCAAAAGGGTCACCCCGGGATGACTTTCGAGTCGACTCAGGTCATCTCCCTTTGCGTCTCGACACACGCTGGGCGCATCACCTGATAAGGGGGAGCAGGGATAGGAAGTAGAGGGGAGGGATGAGATCAAGGGCGATGGGCTTACACACACCAACCACACAAACGGCCAAAAGGGTCACCCCGGGATGACTTTCGAGTCGACTCAGGTCATCTCCCTTTGCGTCTCGACACACGCTGGGCGCATCACCTGATAAGGGGGAGCAGGGATAGGAAGTAGAGGGGAGGGATGAGATCAAGGGCGATGGGCTTACACACACCAACCACACAAACGGCCAAAAGGGTCACCCCGGGATGACTTTCGAGTCGACTCAGGTCATCTCCCTTTGCGTCTCGACACACGCTGGGCGCATCACCTGATAAGGGGGAGCAGGGATAGGAAGTAGAGGGGAGGGATGAGATCAAGGGCGATGGGCTTACACACACCAACCACACAAACGGCCAAAAGGGTCACCCCGGGATGACTTTCGAGTCGACTCAGGTCATCTCCCTTTGCGTCTCGACACACGCTGGGCGCATCACCTGATAAGGGGGAGCAGGGATAGGAAGTAGAGGGGAGGGATGAGATCAAGGGCGATGAGCTTACACACACCAACCACACAAACGGCCAAAAGGGTCACCCCGGGATGACTTTCGAGTCGACTCAGGTCATCTCCCTTAGCGTCTCGACACACGCTGGGCGCATCACCTGATAAGGGGGAGCAGGGATAGGAAGTAGAGGGGAGGGATGAGATCAAGGGCGATGGGCTTACACACACCAACCACACAAACGGCCAAAAGGGTCACCCCGGGATGACTTTCGAGTCGACTCAGGTCATCTCCCTTTGCGTCTCGACACACGCTGGGCGCATCACCTGATAAGGGGGGGCAGGGATAGGAAGTAGAGGGGAGGGATGAGATCAAGGGCGATGGGCTTACACACACCAACCACACAAACGGCCAAAAGGGTCACCCCGGGATGACTTTCGAGTCGACTCAGGTCATCTCCCTTTGCGTCTCGACACACGCTGGGCGCATCACCTGATAAGGGGGAGCAGGGATAGGAAGTAGAGGGGAGGGATGAGATCAAGGGCGATGGGCTTACACACACCAACCACACAAACGGCCAAAAGGGTCACCCCGGGATGACTTTCGAGTCGACTCAGGTCATCTCCCTTAGCGTCTCGACACACGCTGGGCGCATCACCTGATAAGGGGGAGCAGGGATAGGAAGTAGAGGGGAGGGATGAGATCAAGGGCGATGGGCTTACACACACCAACCACACAAACGGCCAAAAGGGTCACCCCGGGATGACTTTCGAGTCGACTCAGGTCATCTCCCTTTGCGTCTCGACACACGCTGGGCGCATCACCTGATAAGGGGGAGCAGGGATAGGAAGTAGAGGGGAGGGATGAGATCAAGGGCGATGGGCTTACACACACCAACCACACAAACGGCCAAAAGGGTCACCCCGGGATGACTTTCGAGTCGACTCAGGTCATCTCCCTTTGCGTCTCGACACACGCTGGGCGCATCACCTGATAAGGGGGAGCAGGGATAGGAAGTAGAGGGGAGGGATGAGATCAAGGGCGATGGGCTTACACACACCAACCACACAAACGGCCAAAAGGGTCACCCCGGGATGACTTTCGAGTCGACTCAGGTCATCTCCCTTTGCGTCTCGACACACGCTGGGCGCATCACCTGATAAGGGGGAGCAGGGATAGGAAGTAGAGGGGAGGGATGAGATCAAGGGCGATGGGCTTACACACACCAACCACACAAACGGCCAAAAGGGTCACCCCGGGATGACTTTCGAGTCGACTCAGGTCATCTCCCTTTGCGTCTCGACACACGCTGGGCGCATCACCTGATAAGGGGGAGCAGGGATAGGAAGTAGAGGGGAGGGATGAGATCAAGGGCGATGGGCTTACACACACCAACCACACAAACGGCCAAAAGGGTCACCCCGGGATGACTTTCGAGTCGACTCAGGTCATCTCCCTTTGCGTCTCGACACACGCTGGGCGCATCACCTGATAAGGGGGAGCAGGGATAGGAAGTAGAGGGGAGGGATGAGATCAAGGGCGATGGGCTTACACACACCAACCACACAAACGGCCAAAAGGGTCACCCCGGGATGACTTTCGAGTCGACTCAGGTCATCTCCCTTAGCGTCTCGACACACGCTGGGCGCATCACCTGATAAGGGGGAGCAGGGATAGGAAGTAGAGGGGAGGGATGAGATCAAGGGCGATGGGCTTACACACACCAACCACACAAACGGCCAAAAGGGTCACCCCGGGATGACTTTCGAGTCGACTCAGGTCATCTCCCTTTGCGTCTCGACACACGCTGGGCGCATCACCTGATAAGGGGGGGCAGGGATAGGAAGTAGAGGGGAGGGATGAGATCAAGGGCGATGGGCTTACACACACCAACCACACAAACGGCCAAAAGGGTCACCCCGGGATGACTTTCGAGTCGACTCAGGTCATCTCCCTTTGCGTCTCGACACACGCTGGGCGCATCACCTGATAAGGGGGAGCAGGGATAGGAAGTAGAGGGGAGGGATGAGATCAAGGGCGATGGGCTTACACACACCAACCACACAAACGGCCAAAAGGGTCACCCCGGGATGACTTTCGAGTCGACTCAGGTCATCTCCCTTTGCGTCTCGACACACGCTGGGCGCATCACCTGATAAGGGGGAGCAGGGATAGGAAGTAGAGGGGAGGGATGAGATCAAGGGCGATGGGCTTACACACACCAACCACACAAACGGCCAAAAGGGTCACCCCGGGATGACTTTCGAGTCGACTCAGGTCATCTCCCTTAGCGTCTCGACACACGCTGGGCGCATCACCTGATAAGGGGGAGCAGGGATAGGAAGTAGAGGGGAGGGATGAGATCAAGGGCGATGGGCTTACACACACCAACCACACAAACGGCCAAAAGGGTCACCCCGGGATGACTTTCGAGTCGACTCAGGTCATCTCCCTTTGCGTCTCGACACACGCTGGGCGCATCACCTGATAAGGGGGAGCAGGGATAGGAAGTAGAGGGGAGGGATGAGATCAAGGGCTATGGGCTTACACACACCAACCACACAAACGGCCAAAAGGGTCACCCCGGGATGACTTTCGAGTCGACTCAGGTCATCTCCCTTTGCGTCTCGACACACGCTGGGCGCATCACCTGATAAGGGGGAGCAGGGATAGGAAGTAGAGGGGAGGGATGAGATCAAGGGCGATGGGCTTACACACACCAACCACACAAACGGCCAAAAGGGTCACCCCGGGATGACTTTCGAGTCGACTCAGGTCATCTCCCTTTGCGTCTCGACACACGCTGGGCGCATCACCTGATAAGGGGGAGCAGGGATAGGAAGTAGAGGGGAGGGATGAGATCAAGGGCGATGGGCTTACACACACCAACCACACAAACGGCCAAAAGGGTCACCCCGGGATGACTTTCGAGTCGACTCAGGTCATCTCCCTTTGCGTCTCGACACACGCTGGGCGCATCACCTGATAAGGGGGAGCAGGGATAGGAAGTAGAGGGGAGGGATGAGATCAAGGGCGATGGGCTTACACACACCAACCACACAAACGGCCAAAAGGGTCACCCCGGGATGACTTTCGAGTCGACTCAGGTCATCTCCCTTAGCGTCTCGACACACGCTGGGCGCATCACCTGATAAGGGGGAGCAGGGATAGGAAGTAGAGGGGAGGGATGAGATCAAGGGCGATGGGCTTACACACACCAACCACACAAATGGTCAAAAGGGTCACCCCGGGATGACTTTCGAGTCGACTCAGGTCATCTCCCTTTGCGTCTCGACACACGCTGGGCGCATCACCTGATAAGGGGGAGCAGGGATAGGAAGTAGAGGGGAGGGATGAGATCAAGGGCGATGGGCTTACACACACCAACCACACAAACGGCCAAAAGGGTCACCCCGGGATGACTTTCGAGTCGACTCAGGTCATCTCCCTTTGCGTCTCGACACACGCTGGGCGCATCACCTGATAAGGGGGAGCAGGGATAGGAAGTAGAGGGGAGGGATGAGATCAAGGGCTATGGGCTTACACACACCAACCACACAAACGGCCAAAAGGGTCACCCCGGGATGACTTTCGAGTCGACTCAGGTCATCTCCCTTTGCGTCTCGACACACGCTGGGCGCATCACCTGATAAGGGGGAGCAGGGATAGGAAGTAGAGGGGAGGGATGAGATCAAGGGCGATGGGCTTACACACACCAACCACACAAACGGCCAAAAGGGTCACCCCGGGATGACTTTCGAGTCGACTCAGGTCATCTCCCTTTGCGTCTCGACACACGCTGGGCGCATCACCTGATAAGGGGGAGCAGGGATAGGAAGTAGAGGGGAGGGATGAGATCAAGGGCGATGGGCTTACACACACCAACCACACAAACGGCCAAAAGGGTCACCCCGGGATGACTTTCGAGTCGACTCAGGTCATCTCCCTTTGCGTCTCGACACACGCTGGGCGCATCACCTGATAAGGGGGAGCAGGGATAGGAAGTAGAGGGGAGGGATGAGATCAAGGGCGATGGGCTTACACACACCAACCACACAAACGGCCAAAAGGGTCACCCCGGAAAAAAGGGAAGTGAAGTGGAAAGCGAAGGGTAGGCATACCATGGTGTCGATCATGTTGACAATGTTGGCGTATTGCAGCGCGTTGCCGAGCATCACCCAACCACATGCACAGTGTAGCACAAGAACCCCACCCCAGCCCTATGGCTAGACATACCACCGTCCGCCATACAAAGAAAGGGGAGTTCAGTGAGAGCAACGCATAGCATACCATCGTGTCGATCATGTTGACAATGTTGGCGTATTGCAGCGCCATGCCGTTCACTCCGAGTTTCCTTAAATCAGCAGCCGTGGGAGGCGTGCCGGACATGAGACGCCCCACCTTCACCACTGAAGTGAGTGAGGCAAAGGGGTGGGTGGAGGGAAGGAAAGGGGATGGATGACGCCTACGAGTCTGCAAACCAACAGCCGTGGGAGGCGTGCCGGACATGAGACGCCCCACCTTCACCACTGCAAGGGGAAAGGGTAGATGGAGGGACGGAAAGGGGATGGATGGGGAGCAGGGGTTACATAAGGCGCCAAAAAAAGTCCTCAGATCAGCGGCTGTGGGAGGCGTCCCTGACATGAGGCGACCCACCTTCACCACTGATGAGGGAGATGGAGAAGTGGGAAGGGGGATGGGTGAAGGGAGAGGAAAGGCAGAAGGGGGAAGGGGGAAGGGTGAAGGGGGAGGAAAGGCAGAAGGGGGAAGGGGGAAGGGGGAAGGGGGAGGAAAGGCAGAAGGGGGAAGGGGGAAGGGGGAAGGGGGAAGGGGGAAGGGTGCACAGGCAGCATGAAGGCATGTCGAGCACTTCAGCAGCTGTGGGAGGCGTGCCCGACACGAGGCGACCCACCTTCACCACTGCAGGGGAAGGGGGAAAGAGGGGGAAGGTGGGGATGGATTATGGCTTGAGAAGAGAAGACGGGAAAGGGTGCATAGGCGGTATGCACGGGTAGGGATGGAGGAGAGGTTGTACAAAGAAAGGGGAAGGGTAGAGAGGAGGAGGGGGAGACGAGCAGAAGAGGGCGTGCTTGACATAGAGGCGATCCACCTTTGCCACTGACGAGGGAGATGGAGGTAGGGGAAGGGGGGAAATATTTTTGAGGCGCCTCAAAAAGGGATGGGTAGAGAGGAGGAGGGGGAGACGACCAGGAGGAGAGGGCGTGCTCGACATAGAGGCGATCCACCTTTGCCACTGACGAGGGAGATGGAGGTAGGCGAAGGGGGGAAATGGCAGGCACGTGGCAGCACGAGGCCTGTGGTAGCAAGCAAGCTTATCAGGTGCGTGCATGGAAGCAGCAACGACCTTTCTGCACTCGCCATTGGCCCCAAACATGTCAACAAATTGGTCGTGCAGAAATAAAAGCACCTGGATGTATGTATGCAAGCAGCAACGCTCTCGGACCGGCTTGCACTGCACTCACCATCAGCCCTGAACACATCCAAAATTTGGTCATGCACAAGGCATGTACACAGAAATACTCACCATCGTGCACGTCCACAATACTCACCATCATGCACGTCCACAATTTGGTGGTGCAGGAATATGACCACCTGCACCAGCTTCTCCATCACCACCTGTATGCAGGACTAGCTTGTGGAACGCATGTACTCTCATCAGGTGCATGCATGCAAGCAAGCAAGCACCCTCAGACCAGCTGGCACTCACCATCGGCCCCGAACACGTCCACAATTTGGTCATGCAGGAATATGACCACCTGCACCAGCTTTTCCACCACCTACAATGCAGTGTAGGCAACACAGGGGATTTGAGGGAGTAAGATGAAGCATTACAACTGGTTGAGGGACAATCTGCACAGATGAAAAAAGGTACCACAGTGGTGATCATCAGGGAGAGCAAGCAGGGAGAGCGTGGCCACCAAGGCAGGGCAAGCAGCACAGGTGTTTCAAGGGAGTGGATTGAATGAATGAAGCGTTCAAGTGGTGGTGACCACCACCTGAAACAGCTTCTCCACCACCTGAACCGTGCGGTGCAATGCAAGCAGTGCAATGCAAGCAGTGCAGACAGCAACGGAGTAGTGAAGTATGTTTTTAAAGAATTCTCAAAACCGTGGGAGGGAGATATGATGCAGCGTATGGTTTTTGAGAATTTTCAAAAAACATACGGTGCAGTGCAATGCAAGCAGTGCAGACAGCAATAAAGTAGTGAAGCATGGAACCAAAGTGGCTTCTTTTGAGGCACCTCAAACTAATGAAGAAAGGAACGACCACAGTGGCGAACTAGCGACCACCTGCCCCACCTTCGCCATCCATCACCTGCATGCACTCACACCAGCTCACACCCACCCACCTCATGCATGGTTTTGGACTATGGCCCTTTCTTCTTCATCGTCATTCACGGTAACAAGTATCACCCACACTGCAAGCACTCACACCACCTCACACCACCTCACACCACCTCACACCACCAACCCACCTCGTCCATGGTTTTCGACCAGAGCCCTTTCTTCTTCATCGTTTTCACTATCTTCTCCTGCGCCTTCATCTCCGCCCGCATCTGCGCGATCAGCTCTGCTTGAGAAGAATGGGTTGGGTTCGGTTGGGATGAATTGAGATGGGTTGGAATGGGTTGGATTGGTTGCAATGCGATCAGGATGGAGGGTGAGATGGTGCCACCTTCGCTATCTTCTCCTGTGCCTTCATTTCTGCTCGCATCTGCGCTATCAGTTCTGAGTGAACAGCCAGACTGAAACGGATACGGATATCCCGATCGATCGTTACAGGGATGGAGATGGGGAGAATGGGCCACGTGTATTGAGGGTATTTTTGAGACGTCTCAAAAATACCCTCAATACTCGTTACAGGGATGGAGATGAAGATGGGATGGGGAGAATGGGGATGGGATGGGGAGAATGGGGATGGGATGGGGAGAATGGGGATGGATGGGGAGAATGGGGATGGATGGGGAGAATGGGGATGGATGGGGAAAATGGGGATGGATGGGGAGAATGGGGATGGATGGGGATAGGCCAGGCCAGGGCAAAACATACCTCTGTTGACCGCGGAGTCTGAATCCTGCTTCACCCGTCTGTCCAGCGACTGCTGCAGCACTCCCTCTTCATGTTAAACAATGCCACCATTCCACCCACCCACCAAACACTCACCTCTGTTGACAGCAGAGTCCGAATCCTGCTTCACCCGTCTGTCCAGCGACTGCTGCAGCTGCTCCAGATTTGCCAATTCGTGGTACAGCTCCTGGTGGGGCGAGAGGGGGGAGGAGAGTGAGGACGGAGAGAGGGGAGGAGAGTGAGGACGGAGAGAGGGGAGGAGAGTGAGGACGGAGAGAGGGGAGGAGAGTGAGGACGGAGAGAGGGGAGGAGAGTGAGGACGGAGAGAGGGGAGGAGAGTGAGGACGGAGAGAGGGGAGGAGAGTGAGGACGGAGAGAGGGGAGGAGAGTGAGGACGGAGAGAGGGGAGGAGAGTGAGGACGGAGAGAGGGGAGGAGAGTGAGGACGGTTAGGGGGGAGGAGAGTGAGGACGGTTAGGGGGGAGGAGAGTGAGGACGGAGAGAGGGGAAGGGAGCGGCAGGGGTTAGGAGTGGGAGAAACGGAACTTGAGTACCCAAAGCACCTCGCCTCGCCGTTCCGAGATTGGCCAACTCGTGGTACAGCTCCTGGTGGGGCGAGAGGGGAGGTGGTGGGGAAGGATGGAGGTGGAGGGGAAGGGTGGGGGAGAGATAGGAACTTGTGTAACCACATCGACTGCTGCACCTGCTCCAGATTTGCCATCTCGTGGTACAACTCCTGGTGGGGTGGGGGTAAGGGAGTGGAGGGGGGGAAGGATGGAGGTAGAGGTAGAGGGGTGGGGGACACGAGAGGAGCCAACACCATGAGAGGAGCCAACACCATGAGAGGAGCCAACACCACCAGAGGAGCCAACACCACCAGAGGAGCCAACACCACCAGAGGAGCCAACAGCAGAGGAGCCAATTCGTGACATAGCCGTTTATCTATGATGCTGCTGTGCAAGATGCAACCCACAAGACTGACCGACAAGTCAATGCACGAGTCACCAGAAGAGCCAACATGGGAGCCACCACCACAGAACCCACCCACTCACCGCTGTGATCTGCGCCTGCCCCTCCAGCGCTCGCAACTCCCCCTCCACCTCCACTGATGTCATTCGGCCCTTGGGACCGTCCATGGTGCCCAGGCTGGTGGGGGGACGAGGAAGAAAAAGGAGGAACAAGTGGGGAGACAGACAGACAGACAGGAAGCAGGCATGAGGCGGGCTCTTGGCTCTTGCTGATGTCATTCGGCCTTTGGGGAAGAGGAAGAGGAAGAGGAAGGGAGGGAGAGGGGTGGGAAAGGAGGGGAGAAACGAGGAAGGAGGAACAAAGGCGTGAGGCGGGCTCTAGCTATTGCTGATGTCATTCGGGCCTTGGGTACCGTCCATGGTGCCGACCGAGACTGGCGGGGTGAAAGGGGGGGTTAGGGGGTCTGAAAGAGAAAGGGAATAAGTAGCCAAGGGGCAGGGTCATGGCTTCTGCTGAAGTCATTCGGCCCTTGGGGGGCGTCAATGGTGCCGAGGCTGGCGGGGGAAGAGGAAGAGAAGAGGGAGTTAGACGAGTGGAAAGAAAGGGAGGACATAGGCAGGCCTAAGGAGGGGAGGGGTCACGAATTCTGCTGGCGCCAAGCCCAATGTTAAGGCCGCCTGAAAGTCACACAATCGGTGGACAAACTCATACCATTTTGTTTGAGGTTGATTTTGAGAATTCTCAAAATCAACCCTGAAAGTCACACAATCCGTCTGTGATGAGGCGATTTTTGAGTCGACTCAAAAATCGCCTCATCACAATCGGTGGTCAAGTCAAACTCATACATCAAACGCCCAACCCCACCACTCACATGTCGAACGGCCACTGCCCGACTCACGCACACATCAAACCCCACCCCACCCTTCACTAGTCAAGCCCCCATGGCTCAAGTGACAAATGCGCATAACACCCCACTCACGCGTCAAAGGCCTGTGTGAGCGAATGCAATGCCGGGTCGAGACATTGCTTGCCTAGCCGTGCCACATCCCTCGCCACTGCTCTCAACTCGCCCCTGTGTGCGTGAAAAAAGACGGTGGGGAGGGGGAAGGGAGAAGAGTGAGGAAGAGGAAAGAGGACAGACAAAGTGAAGAGGAGAAAAAACATGGACGCCAGTTCCGATCCGAATCCCTGAAGCTCGTCATATCATAACAGATCAAGGCTTTTCAAAACCTCCATGTACAGTACAGCATTCAGTCTTCATGTGCTGTGCTGTGTGAAGTCAGCAGCACCACCGGTTTGTGATGATCTCATGATCTCTAATGCCATCCACCTGCCCACAAACCCGCTCTTTCTCTCCCACGCACGCACCGCTTGTCCTCGGCAGCAATGCACCAGACGTGGTAGAAATCATCCGAGACCAGCATCCTTATGCCCTCTGACGCCAGCACCTCCGCCCGAAGGTCCTCTATATCCCGCTCTAGCAGCGACTGGCGCAGGTTGATTGCCCTCACGATCACGTTTGCCACTTCAAACCCCATGATCTCAATTCTGAGACGAAGGAGGGGAAACGGGGAAGGGAAGCAGAGGGGGGAAGGGGAGGGGGGGGAGAATGAGATAGAACACTTGGTACTCATTTTCCTTCGCGTGAATGTCTAGAAGGAGGGTGGGGGGGGCAACGGGGTGAGGTGCTTCAGAAACATGCTACTTATGGAACCTGCACGGACTGAACCTCTGCCACTCACTTGCCCTTGGAGCGGATGAGCTTGGGGCCAACAGGGGTGGTCGCCTCCTCTGCTGCAGGAGCTTCCCTGCAAGTCAAAAGCACATGCCAGGCACGGACATGTCAGCCATAGAAGCTTTGTTTAGGCGTACACAGGCACGGACATGCCAAAAGCATAGGCACGGACATGTCAAAAGCACAGGCACGGACATGTCAAAAGCACAGGCACGGACATGCCAAAAGCACAGGCACGGACATGTCAAAAGCACAGGCATGGACATGCCAAAAGCACAGGCACGGACATGTCAAAAGCACAGGCAAGGACATGCCAAAAAAAGCACAGGCACAGACATGTCAAAAGCACAGAATGGGGAAAAGAGAGGGGTAGAGGAGACAAGACAGCAGAGAGCATTTTGGCATCTGTGTAGCGTTGATCTTTGGGCCCAGTTCCGGGGCTAGGGCTTAATCAAAGGGCAAACTGGATCCAATCCTGAACACCAACGTGCATACATTTTTGAGGCGCCTCAAAAGGCATCCGACTTTTGAGGCGCCTCAAGAAACGACTTTTGTTTGAGGAAGGCATCTGTAGCGTTGAGCTTTGGGCCCCGTTCCTGGGCTTAGTTTTATTCAAAGGGCAAACTGGCTCTGATTCAAAACACCAAAGTGCATGCATTTTAGAGACTAAGATCATGGTCTGGTCGAATGAAGGATAAATGCAGGTTTGGCGACTCAGGATCATGCGGTGCAGTGCGGTTCAAACAGCTTTTGCGGCTCTTCAAAAGAGGCCGGCTGTGCCTGGTCGCATGAATGAAGATACGCGCAGTGTGTAAGTTTAGTGACTCACCCTCGCGTGGGTGACGCAGTTGGTGCGGCAGCAGCGCCTGCTGGTGAGGCTGAGGATTGTGTGGACTGTTTGGGGGGGAAAGGGCAACGGAGGAGAGGAAAGGAGAGGAGAGGAGAGGAGAGGACTGCTGGTGAGGCCAGAGAAGCAGTGGAACGATGAAAGAAAAGATAGAATGGCGGAGTCACAAAACTAGTCCCTGCTGCTGGTGTGGCTGAGAATGGCGAGGAGTGCTTTGAGGATGGCGGGGGCATCAGAGAATAAATAACGGCGTTTGGAGACGTCAGAAATCTAGCGCCTGCTGGTGAAGCCGAGGATTGAGAAGACTGTTTGAAAGGGGACAGCGGACAGAAGGGCAACATACAGACAGACACAGAGGGAACGGAGTCACTGACGCATTGAATCAGGCAAACAGGGGCCACAGTGAAACTATAAGTGGCATTGGTGGAAAGGCGACAGCCGTGTGTTGATGTGACAACAGCTTAACTGTCTGAACCCGCAGCAGCAGAACCGGAGAGGAAAATGAATACAGGGGGCGGGGTGGGGGTTGGGGGGTTGGGGGGTTGGGAAGAGGGGAGGAGGAGGGGGGAGGGGAGGGGGAGGATGGGGAGAAAACGGGGGAAAGGACAAGGGGGGAGAGGGAGGGACTGGGGAGGCGGGGTGGGCGGGAGGGGTCCTCAATGTCTTGATGTCAGCACAGAATCGCTGTGAGATTGCGAGTAGCAACAGCTGAAGTGCCAAAAAAAGAAGAAGAAAAAAAGGGTAGTTACTCCTACGCTAATAGTACAACTCTAACTCCATAATTTCTCGTACGACCTATGCTACTAGTACTACTCTACTTCATAATTTCTCGTACGGCAATAGTACCTTGAATCCGCGGACGCCCCCCGTTGGCAAACAGTGGATGCCCGTCGCTTCCCGCGGCGACGACTCCACGCCTTTGTCGTCGCCGTTGTCCGTGCTGTCGCCCTGGTCATCCCTGCGACGGCTTTTACTGAAAAGCGACGGCAGGCGACCCGAAGCCGATTTCCCAGCCGTCGCATCGTCAACGCTGCGACCCGACGCTACCTTGGCTTGCGATTGCGATGTTTCGTCAATTTTCGCCGATCCACTTTCATCTTCGCTGACTCGGTCTGGTAACGGGTCCTTGACAGCTGGTTTGGACTGTATACACCCCATAAGTCGCTGGCTAGGGTTAGGAGGCTAATACCGCGAAGCTCAATAACGCGGCATTGTCGATTGTCGCACTCGGTCAAACGTAGAGAAGGGCATTGGTGGATATCTACCAACTGGGATAGCGCAGCAAACCTCGAGGTCTAGGAGAAAGAATATAGGAGAAATAAACAAAACAAAATACCTACGAAATAAATACGATCGGGTATGATATTGGAGGCGCTAAAAACAGAACTACCACGAAATATATACGATCGCGTATGTCGCGTCAAGCCACTAGCCAATGTAGCGTATTTAGGACAAACTCCTACTTCGGGTCACTACTAGGCGGCAAACAAGAGCACCAAGGTAACATGCCAACACCAACGAACGTGCCAACAATAACGAACTCAACACTAACGGGTGTGCAGGAAGGCGGGAACGACGCGAAGGTCGATCTTTGGAACGGGAAGTCCGGCAACCTAGGCTGTCATGGCTATTGATGGCAGCACTTCCTAGCCCCACAGCCTGCTGGTTGCTGACAGTGGGTCTGAGGTCACTCTTATTTCACTGACAGGACGCGCGGTCTTCATGTCATGACTAACTACTACAAGCAGTAGAGTGGTTTGAGAGGTGATGAATCAGCTGGCTGGAGCTGTGGCTCATGACCTTGAGGAGGAGATGTCAAACAACAGCTCTCGGTAATACGGTGATATGCGTTTAAAAGCGGCTAATATAGATATGAAAACGATCGGGTATGGTAGGGTTTGAGAAGGAAACTAGTGTAACCGTCCCAGTGTTCCGTACGAACGACACAAGCAGCAGTTCCCCAAGAGGTGTCACAAGGATGACACTCTTCACCAGCCTGGACAGTCCTTGACCACATTTGGAACCACCACTCACCACCATCCAGCCAGCTCCACCCCGCACGCACCCGAACTGAAACAAGGATTTTGCACGAACTGTAGCATAATTGTACAGGTCCTGTTACGAGTGCAATTGAGTGAGCGAGCGAGGATTGCACTATCGAGACAAGATACACAGCGAAAGATAGAGCGAAGAATATATAGCGAAGCTACGGTGGTAACGGTAATGTGGGAAATTGGGGTGCGCGACGGGCCTGGTGCCGAGGTTGGGGACTGTCGAGGCGGAGGTCCGGAGCGCGGGTACCAACCGAACCGTGAGGTTGGGTCGCATCGTGAACAGTGGCGGGAATGGTGTCGATGCGAATGTCGCGAGTGGTAACGGAATATTGTGGGATGCTGTCAGTGGTGTACGCGCTGAGCAGGGTCGCGAAGTAAGGAAAAGGAAATTTCTTTACACTACCCCTCCCCTTAAGGTGGCCTCGCTTATGAGAGCGCGTGTATATCTCGGAAATTTCGGCTGCGTAGATACTCGTTGAGGACGGGGTGGTTTTCGATTTTGTCCAGTGGAACCCAATTGTCCTCGGTGGGCGTGCGGTCTCCCCAGCGGATTAGAAATTCGACCCTTCGGGCTCCTCGAGGGTCACGAACTCGGTGGCTCAGGATCTTCTCGGGCGTGATGACTGGTTCGGTCGCTGGTCGTGTCATGCTGGCTGGGCAATGTCGGGCCAGTTGGCTGGTGGATGGAATGTAGGGGCGAAGCAGACTGACGTGGAAGGATGGGCTGACATACCAGTCTGCAGGGAGGAGGAGGTGGGCGGTGACGGGTGTGATCATGTGGCTGATGCGGAATGGCCCGCAATATCGGGGGCGGAGTTTCGGAGTTATGGGCAGGCGGAGGTTTTGGGTGTCGAGTAGAACTAAGTCGTCGGGCTGGTAAGTGACGGGTCTGCAGTGGCGGTCGGCGTTGCGCTTAGCGATGACGTTGGCCTTTTTGATTGCCTCTGCTGCCCTGGTTCGTGCTGCCTGTAAAACTTATGCGAATTGTTGCGCACGTGGTACTGGGTTGTCGGGATTCGGGGTCATGGGTACTGTAGGGTCTTGTCCGTAGTTCAGGTAAAACGACGACTGTTGGGTCGTGGCGGATGGTGAGTTGTTGTACGCGAATTCGATGAGTGGCAGTTGCTGCTCCCAGGTGGTCGGGTCATCGCACGTGGCTCGGATCAACTGTCCCATGGTCTGATTTGTCCGTTCTGTCTGTCCGTCAGTCTCGGGGTGGTACGAAGAACTGAAATGTAGTCTCGTGCCGAACTGCTGCCACAGGTTCCGCCAGAAATCGCTGGTAAATTTCGTTTCGCGATCACTGATGATTGCTGCTGGTATCCCGTGTAATGGAACGATGGTTGCGATGAAGAGGCGGGCCGATTCTTCGGCTGTGATTGATTTTTTGCAGGCTGCGAAATGTGCCATTTTTGTCAGCCGATCGTCGACGACCAGGATCGCGTCGTTCCCACTTGCTCCCGCCGGTAACCCCGTGACGAAGTCCATCGTCACCTGTTGCCAAGCACGCTCTGGGGGTGGTATCGGCTGCAACTGTCCTGCCGGTCGCTTCCGTGATGACTTCATGATTTGGCAGGTGGGACACGATGCCACGTGTTGCTGCACGTCGGTCAGCATTTCGGGCCAATAATAATACCGCTGCAGCTGCTGCCGTGTTTTTTCTACTCCGAAATGTCCTGAGGTGACTCCGTCGTGTGCCTATTGCAAAAGTAATTCTCGTAGGAGTGTGTAGCCCGGTACCCAGATGCGATCGGTGCCCGCTTTTACGTAATAGACCCCTCTTGCCGTTGCAAACTGCTGCGAATTTCCGCCTGTAAAAAATGGGTCAGTCTGGTAACCGTGGGTAAATAGGCCTGTCAGCAGGGGGCTGGTCTGGGCGAGTAGTATGGCGTGAAGTTGGGCTGTGGGCCGGGTTAATGCGTCGGCGATGTTTGATGCCCCTTTTTTGTAGGTGACCGTGTAGTGAAAATTCGACTCGAGGTAGTTGAGCCAGCGGATTTTTCGTGGGTTGAGGTGGGGTTGTGCGCGGAGGTAGTGTAGGGATTTGTGGTCTGTCCGTACTGTCACGTCGGCGCCGGTCAAGTAACAGCGCCACACTTTGAATGCATGCACGATCGCAAGCATTTCGCGATCGTGTATCGGGTAATTCTTCTCGGGGGGATGCAACTTTCGTGATTCGTATGCGATAGGTTGTGGACCGTTGCGGAAATCCTGTAGCAGTACGGCTCCAATGGCGATGTCGCTTGCGTCGGTAATCACTTCGAATGGGCGGTGTGGGTCAGCGATGTGTAGTACGGGCGGTGAACAGAGAACATTTTTCAGGGTAGAGAAGGCAGCATGCTCTTTCTCCCCCCACGTAAAAGCGACCCCTTTCCGCAGTAAGTCAGTCAGTGGAGCAGTTAAGCGTGCCATGTCGGGGACGAACCGACGCACGTAATTAACGAATCCCAAAAAACTCTGCAGCTCCGTGATGTTCGTCGGGGGGTGCCAAGCTTTTACCGTGTCCAATTTCTTCGGGTCGATTTCCACTCCAGCCTCCGAAGTAACGTGCCCAAAAAATTCTAGCCTATCCTGGAAGAACTCGCACTTGGAACCCTTGGTGAGTAGTCTGTGTTTGTCTAAAACTATAAATACTGCTTCTAAATCGGCTAGGTGTTGTTTCCTGTCACGGCTGTAGACGAGAATGTCGTCGAGGTAATTGATCACACATTTATCTAAGAGTGGTCGAAACGCCTCGTTCATGGTCATCTGAAAAGTCGCCGGTGCGTTGGTCAGCCCGAAAGGCATCACTGTGTACTCGAATGACCCGTACCGAGTCCTAAATGCTGTTTTGGCGCAGTCCGATGGTTCGACCCGAATCTGATGGTAACCTCATCGTAAGTCAATTTTCGAAAAGACCCGTGCTGTTCGCAGTTGATCTATCAGTTCGTCGGCTCGGGGGATGGGGTATCGCGATTCAACTGTAACCCTGTTCAGTGCTCGGTAGTCGATACACATGCGAAAACCTCCGTCTTTTTTCGGTGTGAACAGGATCGGAGCGGCGAATGGCGAGGAGCTCGGTCGGATGATTTTTTTCTCTAACAAGTAATCTAACTGCTTCCTTAGCTCGTCGAGCTCGGGCTGTGTCAGTCTGAACTGTCGCTGTACGGTTGGCTGTGCCCCGGGTTCTAATTCTATTCGGTGGTCATGCGCCCGCTGAAGTGGCAGTCCCTCCGGTAAGTCATCGGGAAATATCCCCGGGAATTGTTTCAATAGTTCTTGGAGCTCGGGTGGTACTGCCGTCAGTAATTTCTGGAGATCGCTCGGCTGCCTTGGTGTTAGAGGTCAACTGGTGATCCCCGATTGATCCTAGGGAAGGGTTACAGGCATGTTGGCCTGGGGGGTTACAGCGGATGATTTTTTTCTCTAACAAGTAATCTAACTGCTTCCTTGGCTCGTCGAGCTCGGGCTGTGTCAGTCTGAACTGTCGCTGTACGGTTGGCTGTGCCCCGGGTTCTAATTCTATTCGGTGGTCATGCGCCCGCTGAAGTGGCAGTCCCTCCGGTAAGTCATCGGGAAATATCCCCGGGAATTGTTTCAATAGTTCTTGGAGCTCGGGTGGTACTGCCGTCAGTAATTTCTGGAGATTGCTCGGCTGCCTTGGTGTTAGAGGTCCACTGGTGATCCCCGATTGATCCTAGGGAAGGGTTACAGGCATGCTGGCCTGGGGGGTTATGGGCGCACTGACCCGCTACTTAACAAGCCCTTTTATCCCAATGGTCTAGTGGTTGGGATTCTGACACTTGGTTCTTCCACTATCGCGATATCTACCTGTCAAAATCGTAACTAGCTAAACCTAGGAGCCATAGCTAGGTTACGAGAGATGTGAGAGGCAAGGAGGGTCGAGAGGAACATGTCGAGAGAGGTTTGTCAAAGAGGAGTTCAATAATGAACAAGGGTACAAGATATAGGCAAAAGAGGAAACAATTGTACACCACCTGCAAGATCTCATAACTACACTAGGTTCTACTGCAGGCAATTATAAATGTAAACGAATACATTTCAACACACCCCCTAAATGCCTACAGCTAGAACCATGTACAGTACTCCTCCTGCAGGGGTACA